GTGAAATGTTATGGTGGCATCAACAGGTGGTTTGGAAATCTATGAGTAGGGCTTTGAGAACCACAAAGGAGCCCAATTTACCAGCTCTAAAACACATCTCCAAAGTACTGTTAGAAACATAATATGAACATTCAATCCATCCTCCATTCTTGAGGTCAACCTGCAGATGTTAACTGTGGGCCCTGGGGTAAAGAAATCTATGCAGAGCCCACATCAGTTTGGGGGATTTTAGATGGTAGATGTTTCACCCCCTTTTTGATGTTCTACTAGTGCTATACAGTAGTGTTTCTGGGATTAGCAGGTGTCAAACACAGGCCTTTAGTAGAACTCACAGCTAAAGGCTAAGCACTCATGCCCAATTACTTGACACGCTGAAGCACAGATCTCAAGTTTGAGGCCAGCCCGGGCAACTTAGACTCTGTCTCAAAAGAAAAAATAAAAAGGACAAGGAATGTAGTTTGGCAATAGGAGTATTTGTCTTGCATATATGAGGAGCTGGATTCAATCCTCAATACTTCAGAGGGGAAAAAAAAAGAATCTGACTTAGGAATTGTCGTATGGGACTGGGGTTATAGCCCAGTGGTAGAGCATTTGCCTATGACATTCAAGGCCCTTGGTTTTAATCCCTAGCACTACTGGGTGGGCAGGAGGGGGGAATCCATATAGAACACAAAAGTTTTAGCTCTGAAAGTACGAGCAGGAATGCTGAGTCATCTACTCTAGAGCAAAAAGTGTAACACAACCTCATTTCTTGGGTCAGACTCATTTTATATCTTTTATCTGTCCCTGGGTTTGTGACTGGACTTATTTCTGGAGCCAGGTAATGATTCAGACCTGCACAAGGTCAAAGAACTTAATTCTCACTAGTGAACCTGTCCTCGTATAATGGTTCATCACAAACACATTTACACACACAATCATGATCTCCCAAACATAGATGCTAACTACTTGGTAAATAAAAGTCTCATATGCCCCAAATTAGCTTTTATGATTCTTTACTCGGTCATCAACAAACATGAAGACCTACTATGTACAGTGGAATCCTGTTGTTCAAGGGGAGAAGAGATATAAACTTTGCAGGCAGATAAAAATTCCAATAAATTATGCTGAGTGCTATTTTAAAAGTATGAACAATATTATTTGGCAGCAGATGACAGAGATGACAGAGATTGACTACCTGGGGACAAAGGAGGGAGCTCAAAAAGGCTTTATGGAGATGATTGACTTGTGTGAAGTTTTTGTTTTGTTTTGGTTGGCCATAGGGCCTGAACTCTGGGCCTGGGCGCTGTCCCTTAGCTCTTCAGCTCAAGGCTAGCGCTCTACCACTTGAGGCACAGCACCACTTCTGGCTTTTTCTGCTTATGTGGTGCTGAGGAATCAAACCCAGGGCCTCATGCATGCAAGGCAAGCACTCTACTGCTGAGCCACAGACCCTTGTGTGAAGTTTTAAAAGGAAATAAGCTAGGTGTTATAATCCTAGCTACCTAGGAGGCTGAGATCTGAAGATCATGGTTCAAAGTTAGCCCAGACAGAAAAATACATCAGACTCTTATCCCTAATTAACCACCTAAAAGCTAGAAGTGATAGAGCACTAGCATTGAGCAAGAAAGCTAAGGGATAATGCCCAGGCCCTGAGTTCAAACCCGTTTCTCTCTCTCTCTCTCTTTCTCTGTCTCTCTGTTTGGCTCATGCAGAAGGCAGAACAGAAGAGATGAGATTTAGTGCTTAGACTACAATGATTGAGTATTGGTTCTAACTTCAACCAATACTGTAAGTCCAATGACTCTTATTGGTGTTCATTGGTTGCCATGACTATCATTATTATTATTGGTGCATTTTGATCACATCCACCACTTCTCCTTAGAGTTGAGGATAGTTGATAAATATTTTGTTGGATGAATGAGTGATCAAGTGAGTGGAGAATATGAAGTTTCTTAAAGCAGATGGAGATAAACATGATTTCGCTAATGTCATACCCTGAAGAGTAAAAGGAGGGTGTTTTCTAGAGGCGCACTTCAGTTACCTGAAGGTCATTCCCCATTCTTTAATGAGCTGGCCCCTCCAAATCTGTATTGGATAGGGTAGACTACTGGATTAAAAATAATCACAGAACTTTGCATTTGTATAGAATTCTCAGTTTATATGTATAGTAATTTTAAAAATGCAATCTTTGAATTCAAAACTATCAAGCTCCCATTTGAATATTTCCAGATGTACCCTGAAGTTGTAATCCCTGGTTTTAGGCTCCCATTACCTTCCAAGAAGAAAGATTCAGCAATGAAATTAAGCAAGTGGCTGAGGCAGAGTCTGCCCATACCTTCCCCATACTACTTCCTTCAAGATAGTCCCACGCTGATATAAAGAAGTGATGGAAGTGAGCGAAGGCACAAAGGCTTGGTAAAGGTAGTGCCTTAATTTCTTAAGCTGTAAAATTACTTTGCAAAGTCACTGTTTAGCCTCAGTTTGATTGGATACAGTTCAATTCAACATCTACTCAGCCAGCTACTATGGGCTGCCAAGGTCCTAGAGCATGTTTTTCTCCTATGAGTGGGCTGTGAGTGAGGAGGTCAGGGAACTGAACTTGGGTTTGCTACAAAGTGCCTGGATGCCATTGACAAAGTCATTTCATCTTTTTGAACCTCAGGTTCATCTTCATAAAATAAAGTAGTTAGAAAAGATGATCTCAAAGTCCTCCCTAGTTCTCACATCTATAATTCTCAAATAGGGGAACTGTATCATTATAACTCTACATTTCTGAATTTCAAAGCCAGTGAATTCTGTGATCTTTATTTTCCCTTAGAGGAATGCTTTGACTCAGCAAATTGCCAAGAATTTGCTATAGTTTGACTCTAGACAAATCTTGGAAATAGACCTATCTTTACAAAGTGTTTACTAGGTGTCAATTCTGTGCCACTCATTCAGAAGTATTTGCTAAGCACCTACTATGTGCCAATTATTCAGAAGTATTTACTGAGTCCCTGCTACATGTCATTAATTATTTCAGTCACAGCACTGAAAAGATCAAGCAGTCACACTTCTCACAGAACTCATTTTCTTGTACTTTAATTCATCCATCCTCATAACAAATAAATCTTTTGACAGCTTCAGACAGCAGCAATGGTGATCTAATAGGTTTGTTTTATGTGCTATGATTTGGGCATGGCTACCTCTGAATTAACAACAAAAAAACTGCGTCAAAAATGCCTATCTTTAATGTCTATTTGTCAAGCAAATAGCTGTGTAGATCTTCTTGAAGTTAAAAAAGAAGTAACTCCTGGTTTGTGAATAGACTGAGATATTTTCATACTTGAATGAATTTCAGTCAACTTTGAGACACTAAAAAGTGATTAAATGTTTTCTGCAGTATTAACTAGAATTTAATTTTTTTCTAGAACTGAGTTTTTAAAGTGAGGTTTTATGCACAGAGAGCATTTGCCCATCCTTATAGAATCCATAATAGGTAGGATTTATAAGGGGGTCTACAAAACAAATATGATGTGAATTCTGGTCACTGTAACTCAAAAAGACAGACATCTTTACAAGCTGTAAAATGAGTAAGCAAGCATTCTATGGGTGAAAAAAATTAGATAGCTACTTAACCAGAATCAAGAAAATATAACATTATCCTATTTAAGTATGACACTGAAATGGAACTTTCAATCTGGAAGACTCTCAACTCTTAGTATCATAAATGAAAACCTTGAACTTCAAAGACTGATCCAGAATGAAGCCAAAGCACTCATGAACAGAAACACTAATAACAATCCAGAACAACTGCAGAGTCTCTGTTCTGAATCTATTACACATTAACTAATTGGAAGAGTTTTAGCAAATCAAAGATTGAGAAAATATTCCCTTTGCATGTGAAAGACAACACTTTAGATTAAGTATAAGGCCCCAGATGTTTGTAGTATATTTCTCCAACAGGCTATACAATCTGATAGCAACATATTGAAGGTTTAGACAAACATACAGATGAAAAATCTACAGCAGATATAGTCCACATAAAAACAGGTCACATTCAAATTCTCACTTGTTAGTAGCTAGTTCCAAATTTGGAATCCCTTGCCAAAGAAAATTCACAAAGTATGTACCCATTTAACCATATATGGCTGGAATAATATGAATAGTATAGTATGCTAAGAAGTACTTTTGACCTGGGAAACTCCTTTTGGTCCTGGATTCTTTGATGGCTGTATACTTTGGAGTGTCCAAACAGCAAGCCAGGGATTGTGAAAAGTTCAAGTCATGGATTCTTTCTTGTGTTAGAAATAATTAAGGCTATCTGAAAACAACCTTTTCAGGTCTAGGTCATACCCCCAAAAAGTCTCTTGGACATAGCAGTAAAGAGATGAGTAAGGTCAGAATGGTGTGTACCTGAAATCCTGGCTGTTCTGGAATCAGGATTCAATACTTGAAGGGAGGAAGATGAGTAAAAGAAAACCCCACCTAAGATCTCCTCTTACATATTACACTGGCAGGTGGCAGATATTCCCATCCACCTTCGGGAATAATCTTCTATGCATACCATTGCTGATGCACCAGATTGCTGGAAAAGTTTCCAAAAGCATCCATCATAATAACAATTTTGCCAACACAGGGCTGGTTTCTTACATCTCATAGTCGAAGCTGACAGGTTATCAGTGCAAGTACAATTTGCAAATCTGGGGTTTATAGCTTTGATTTTTCCTCTGACACCTCCTCTGGCTTTAGGTTGAATTTGTTTTCCCCAGAAAGCAAAGTCCTCTAAGTAAATTGAAACGAGTTCGCAAACCTTGGCCTCAGGGCAGATGGTGGTGATTGAAAGAGTGGCCTCTTTATCAAGGTGAGGGGCTTTCTCCACCCCAAGGGGTCTCGCAGGGAGACAGACACAGTCTTGTGGACCCGGTATTGGGGGGGACGGGAGGGGAAGAAGGGGTGAAGGCGACTTGGCTGAGCGAGGCCCTGGAGAGCATGCCCCCCTGCCCACCCTCGGGGACCCCGGGGTGGGCTTTGCTCACCGAGGTGGCCACCGATGACGGTGACGGCGATCTGGTCCATGAACACCGCCCGGAAGCGCACGTCCTGCTCGGAGCAGCGCTGCCGGAGGGCGCGCAGGATCTGCACCTGCGGGTAGTCCTCGCGGATGCGCCGGTCCGTGAGGAACCAGATCTGGGAGCACATGGCGGCCAGGGCGGCGGCGGCGCCGGCGCGGCGCAGACCCCTCGACGTCCCCCCTAGACAACCCTTCTGGCAGGACAGGCGTTGGGAGTCCCGGGCGAGCCACCGCGGCTCCGCTCCCGCCAGTGCGCCAGGCGCCTCTGCAGCCCTGACCCAGCGAATCTGCCCCGCCGCTCAGCGCC